CGTGCCTACCTGCTTTGCCTATATGAAGATGTTGGAAAACCAGCAGGTGTTTAGGTTCTGCGCAATTCCTCAGGTAATGGCCATCGGCACGCTGGCATTGTGCTTCAACAATGGGGACGTGTTCGAAAGGGAGGTCAAGCTGAGGAGGGGACAGACATGTGTAATATTTGAGAGGTGAGAGGGACCCTAACAGGCTGGGGTGCTGGCAAGTAAGTTGTATCCTTTCGCTGTCATGCAGGGAAACCTGCACATAAAAGGAGGTACAGCTCATCCATGGAAAGTAACAAATGTGTTTCTGTAACACAATGATCAGTGAATGCCTAGCAGTGTTTCATAAGAATATGCTGTGTCTGCACTGACGTGCTGGCATATGCAACCGATCTGCCAGACCTGTTGGTCCTGTTTTTGGCTTGGCATGTCTGGTGTGTTTCAGCAGAGTTTCAGCAGAATCTTGGTAGAGGCTGGCAGTTGTCCAGTTGTGAATTGCAGTGGTGTGGATGGCTTTGGGTGCCTGATGTGCCCATTGGAACTCGGTTGCTTGTTTTTCCAAAGTTCCTGACTGCCCCCAGCAGCCAAAGCCTGTGCCCCAATGCTGGCATCAGCTGAACATTTGAAGTGCGGTTGGTGTTAAGCCTAAAGTAGCGAAGTACCATTGCAAGGGAATGTGTACATTAGCACACCTTTGCCGTCCTGTATTTCGTGGTGGACCACCACTTGGATACAACAACCCTTCCTGCTGCACTGCAGTGTGCAGTCAATGCAGGATGTCTACCGCCTCTTTAGGGAGTTTGCCGCGACGATTGGCGCCAAGTGCCAGGGATCTGTGATCACCAGGGACCCCAATGCTAGGGTGACCATGGAAACAGTGGAGAACATCGAGACATTGTGCGAAAAGGGCTTGGAGGAGTGTGGGGTCGCTGCCAAGTATGCCCCCAACAATGAAGCCGAGCAGCCCGTTGAGTGGTGGGTTCGGTTGGCCCTCATGTTCCTGTCGATCGGTTACTTTTCATATGCTTGGGGCATTTCTGCTGTCATGGAAGGCAAGGGCGTGGCCCCAGCTCAGAAGAACGTTTATTTTGACTGGATGCAGAAACTATGTTCGCTGTTGCTGCTCTTTGTTGGTGTGGTCTGGGTCGGAATTATGGGTAAGAGGCTGGGCACCGCGGAGCCCTGACATTTTCAAGGGCTGGTGGGGACTTCGAATGTGGAGGCTGTGCCACCCACCTGCAGCTGTCACATGGAAATCCACCAGTTTTGAATGCGACGCAAGAGAGCTTTTGGGAACAATGATAGGGATTGGGAATGATGTTGTGGGGATCTGTGGTCAGCACTGCTCAAACAAGGGATTTCACTGTCATCGTGGTCGTGAACGGATGAGGATGTAACAATGTGGGCGTTTCTAGTTCATGGCGAGAGTCTGATTGTCTGGTGATGAACAATGGGAGCACGTTTGTTCGTTTGGGTCCACAGTTTTCTTGTGGAAGGTGGCACCAATATGCACAGTTGTTTTTTTTCTTAGTTTGGCACCACGTTTGCCTACTCCTATTCCCAGGATCTTTAACGACCACAAATGTATGACAATTCAGTCGCGTGCCACCTCATCCCTTAGTTACAAACCATGGACCAAGCACGCCACATATGTCCTTTCATTTTTGTCTAACATGAATGTCATCGAAGAGGTACCCTGCGATTACATTAGGACAAATAATTCCACTGTTTCGTCAAAGAAGCAATTTTTGTGATTTTCACTGACGCAATATTCGGATTACCGGTGCTGGAGTCCAGTGACTGGACCAAGTTAGTTCCATCAACTGCCAATGCTATCTAGTGGGAATAGGCCAAAATGGCACTAATTTGGGTCTCATCGGCTAGGAATTATAGGACCAGGAAAAATGGCACCCATGGAGGTATTGTTTGCCATCATGAGAATGACAGACCGGAAGAAACAAGAAAGACATCTTAGTAATCCCATGAAGGACATTTCTGAGAGTTCGGAGTTCAGTCGATTCGACGTCGAATGCCCTGTTGACAAGGCCACAAGGTGAACTACTTGACAAGTGGTATTGTTCATCTAACCCGTTAGTTTGATCTGCCACAGTCACACGTTTATTTGGAAGGTGTTATCCGCAGCTCGAGTTCTGATTGCGGTGATGGAATGTCAGATCTGCGTGTTGCAGGTCCGACTTTGTCAATGTTCCAATGAATGCATGTCTCACACGTTTCTGTTTTCAGCTGGTTGGACGTTTGGAACTGGTGACCAAATCGGTTGGATGCTTGTACCGGATTTGGTGCAAGGATTTCTATGTGACACGCTTTGCAGACGCGCTGGCCATGTGCACATGCAGGCGCCTGGTTTTTGTGGATGTGCTCCTAAAATGACCAGCAGCGCTCTCCATGCGGAGCTGCTTGCTTTCCAATGATTTGAAGGTATTAATGATCGGTTTGGAGGTTCGGTGGTTCTGTGTTTTGACTGCTAGCACATTGGGCATTCCATCGTGTGAATGACGACCGGCATGGTGAGTTAGCGCTCGTGTGCTCGTGGGCTGGCTCGATGGATCGTTTTCGTGGTGGAAGTCGTGGTGCAAACCGGTTCTCAGACCGCTGGCGGTTTGGGGTAAAAGGAACCTGAGTTTTCTTGGCCTTCTTGTGGTTTGGCCTATGACGCCAGCTGGGGCATTTACTCTTTTGTTGCCAAACCAAACATGTTCGAAGAAATCTTTGGCCCTGACACACAGGTGATCTACGAGGTGATGGTCATCACGTGGCCTCGCGAACTGGTAATCGTGTCTCCACCTCTACCAAACCGTTGCAACACCCCGCACCAAAACTCTATCGTACCGCCCGGCATCCATGGCACATCCCTTAGCGCACATCGATCCCTTTGAAAGGACGGGCTGCCTGGAAGTCGGACCGTCCCCACCAGCTCAGCGGCCAACGGGCCACGACGCCGCCCAGGGACGTGTGAGACTGTACATTGGGACGCCAGACACCCTTCTTGGGTTTGGTGGACTGCATCCTTGTGCCACTGCCCGCGCCCGTGCGGACGACGGAGGGAGGTCGCAAAGTAGAGGGCCTTTCCGTCCTTACGGGAGCCCGTCATGCGACGCATGATTGATGGGCAGTACTGCGCACCCAGACGGTATCAAGTCGCTGTTTGGGACCTCTTATGATCGCCCACGTGCCCACTACACGCTCGTACACTGACGGCGGCACACACACGTGGGCGTCCCGTTGTCCGCACAATCAGCCATGCAGACTTGGGCTCAAGGACGACAGATTGGCAGTGAGGACAACGGACGGTGCAACAGAGTCTGGGAATGACTAATACACAGGTACGCTCTCTGGGCCCTGCCTTGTGGCCCTGCAGCACACGGCACGCCCCCAGCGAACATGCGTCACAGGAGTGACGCCAGCGCCGCGTCCGGGACTGGCGCCAAGTACTGGCAGGCCCCAAGATCCGGGACGGGCGCGGGGCGGGGCGGGTGGCTTGTACGGGCCCCGGGTGCCCTGGTGGCCGCCGGGTCTGCCGACGTTAGTGATACGCGGGCCAAACATCGGGCAGGGCATCAGTCAGGGGCCTGGAGCCGGATTCCCGGAACACGGGGCGCCCGGCAGCCTGTCATATCCCCTGCGCCTGGCCCCATCGCCCAGGTTGACCAACCCGTCCCAGAACTTCGAGGCAGGCTGCTGCCTCGCGTGCATGCTGGGCCACCGGGGTGGGCGCCATCCCCACTGGCCAGGCCAGGCGCCCTGAGGGCCGGCGAGGGTGCTCGGAGTGGGAGCCCGCTGCGGCGGCGGGAGGGCGCGGCTGGACGGTGCGGCGGCATGGCGCGCTCGACGGGGCCAGAGCCGGGCGCGGAGGCGCTCGGCGGGCGACGGGCCTTGCGCGGGGGAAATGCCCGGGCGCCAATCTGCCCTCAGCGCTCCGCCGCCGCGACCGAATGCCCCGATTTTCCCAATCCCGCGAATGCCCGCCCCTCCGCGGGCGGCGCCTCCCGAAAGGACGCTGTCGGCTGATTCTAGGGGCTGCCCGCGCGCCCAGTCTTACGCGCCGCCCGTCCCCCCTAGCCCGTCGTCCTGTCTGCCGCCCGACCACCAGTACGTCCATCTACTGCGGCCACTGATCCCCCGCGCCGGGTGCCCTTCCCCAAGGACCGCGCCCCTCCCGGTGCTGACCCTCCGTCTGTGCCGTGCAGGGCGAGGGCGAAGGCAATCGACGTGACGTGACCACCGCGTCCCGCCGCTTGGCCCGGACGCAGCGCGCGGCCCTCGGGGCCATCCCCACCACCAACCCCGCCCCGGCGACCGGCGCCCCGAAGGCGCCGGCGCGTCGTGCCGCGCATCATCGAGCCCCCGGCCGAGAAGCCCGGCGCGATGGCCGCCGAGCCGCAGCAGGACTCCCCCTTCGAGGTGCAGGCTTCGCTGGGCGGCGAGGAGGCGCCGGAGTCCGATCCATCCCCCGCGCCGCCCGCGCCAGAGTCGTCCGAGCCCATGGCCATGGACCCGTCGGCGCAGGGCGGAGCAGCCAGCGCGGAGCAGCCCGGTGATGCGGCCGGGCAGCCCGGCTCCGCGCCCATGCCGGCGGTGTCGAGCGGCGGGGCGGAGCAGATGGAGGTCGAGCCCGCCAACGGCGCGGCGGTGTCCGCGCCTGCAGGTGCGCCGAATGTGCCGCCGCTTATCGTGGTGCCCGGCAAGAGCTCCTCAGACACCGCAGACGGCGGCAACGGGCGGGCGGGGCCGCCACCCAAGGAGGAGTCCCCGAGATCCGACGCGTCGCCCAACCAGCCGCAGAAGAGCCCGCCGAGGCCGAGGTGGGATTTCGAAGATCGCTGGCGGGGGCGGGGGGGCGGAAGGAAAGGGGACAACAGGCTGTCGCGTCTGGCTGTTGCGGTGCCACGTCGCTTTGAATCGTTTGTTGGAGAGTTTGGGCGGCCGGCCGAGGGCCGGATTGTGGTGGATGCCCAGCTCCCGAAGGATGGGGGCTGCGAATTGGGGGCGGCAGGGTTGACCTGCGGCGGCCTTTGGGCGTCGCAATAACCCCTCCAGCGATGGACCCCTGCGAAGGGTGCAAATCCCAGTCCCGGAAATTGGGTGCCGGTGGCGATCCCGGAACATGGCCAGACGGCCAAGCGTCCGAGCGGGGACTGACGGGTCCAATGCCTTGCGGGTGGACGGTGGAAAGGTTTGTCTATGTTTGGGATTGCACGCGGGGGGCGAGTGTTTGAAAGAGTTGTACGCGTTGCGCAGGAAGCCCCACCTTCAGGGCCGCTTCAGCGGCCGACTGGAGACGAAGGACGACGAAAAGACGCTTCAGGAGGAGTGCCGCGCTCTCGGGCCCCTTGTCGGCGGCGCTGGAAAGAGGGGCGAGAAGAGCCGCATGACGCTCGCCAAGATCGTCCGGGCAATCGCAACCGGAGAAGTCAGGCGCCACTGCACAATGCGAGAGGAAAAGATAACGGTGCGATGCCGTGCTAGGGACGCCAGTACGGTCCGTGTCGTTTCTTCGCTGCAGGCCCTATGTGTTGATTTTTGGGACTCTTTTGTGGGAGTTTATGTCCCAATAACTGCTCAACCTGTTGCTGATCACACTCTAGCCACCCATGCGCAGGAGCTCCAGGAGAAGCTGAAAACCATGGAGGCAGTGTACAGACGCGAAATGGAGCTCTTGAAGCAAGACAACAATGCACTTCGACTGAAACTGGAGCTGCAGGGTGCGGACGATTTCAACCATCGCCAGGTGTGGTGGATTGCAGCCCCTCGCCTATTTGAAGCCTGCATATGGACCAAGGCACCCATGGCAGCCATCTTTGCCATCCTGTGTACCATACCCCAGCACTGTATATCTGGCTGCTTAGCAGTGTCTGCCTTCCTTGCCAACTCCAGGCCCTTGCTGCCCTGCAGAACTGTGACACTCTGTCTTGCCTGTGTCTGGAAACAGATTCCACACATGCTGCGTCCAGGTGTCAAGGGCAACAACTCCCACGAACCCAGAGTACGGCTCTACAAAGTTTGTTCATCAATGCCGATGTTGTGGTAACTTGTTTGCAACCCACCAGCAACTGACCTTTCTTGGCTATTCAGCTTGTTTGCCACTTCAATGGTAGCAACTTTTAGTTCTACTCAAACTTACCAACCGTTTGCGATGCATGCAGCAGGTGATCATCACCCCTGCAACAGTCCCTCCAATGGTGGTCGTACGGAATGGCCCCAATGCACGGTACAGTGGCTCTGAAGCCATGACCTCGATCGCTGGGGGGGTGCCCCCTGCAGATGCTCCGATCCCCTTCCTTTTACCTTCAGCACAAGGTGCACAGCTGCAGCAGATCCCGGTAAGTGTTTCTGTGGTCTGCGGTGTGCTGTCTGACTCTGTTGCTGCAGTTAGCATGTATGGAGTGTTGAAGATCAGTACCGTCAACTGTTGCACCGTCACACTTACAGCATAGCATCGCTACCTGCAGGGTTACGTTACATCTATTCTCATTGTGCTGTCAGGTGTTGTGCTTGCTGTGTTCAAGTGTCTGCGCCCATCTAAGCCGAAAGTGGTGGTCTGTTGAACTGACAGGACGCAGCAGTTGGGTACTGTTGACTGTTTGTTCCTTGATTGAGAGACACATAGCGTCGAGTGGTCGTGTTTCATGATGCCAAGAGAGGAATGTTTGGATCGCTGGAGTGCAACCCTTGCTTTTGGGGTGTGAAGTGCACACACGAGCTGCCAAGCTGTCTGTGCCCTGTGTAACACTTTCAGTGTGTTCGTTGCAAGGCCAACAGCCCCATGGCTCGGACAGGGCGGGTGGCACAACTCGGCTCCTTGGGTGCTGCAACAGCGGTGAGTTTGGCTGTGAGTCCCACAAGAGTTGTGTTTGCTTCTCCCTCTCCAGGGCAGATCTTAATAGTTGGTCCGCTTCACAGGCACAGGCACGTGCTCTGGCCCAGGTGGGCTTGCGGGGTCCAGATGCTGCTGGCAATCTCTCTCTGAAGAGGAAGCTACAAGAGATGCAGGTGGGGTGAAGTGTGCTGCCTCTGGTGTGAAAGCGTTTGTAGGGGATGTGCCAGTGGGGAGCACAAGTGCAAGCTAAGCAAGTCTTGGAGCATGGTTGGGGTCGCTGATTTGGGGCTGGGCGTTTGGTCTACAAGGCTCCTACAGCTGTTGCACAGCATCAACAATGTCGTTTGCGCCACCCTGGGCTTGCGTTGCAAAGGCATTGGGGCCAAGGTTGCATACCCACCAGCAAGGCACGCACACATGGGAGGGCCATAGCGCTGAGCAGGCTGAAAGCAGGGCTTGGATATTTCAAGCTGGGGAGCCCAGAGACGAGATTGAATGCGGGTTGAATTGGGGGCGGTCGCAGGGTTCTGGTGGGGATCGTGGGGGCGATGGCGGTCGTGAGGAAGCCATGCATCGTCGACTCGCCGTGTCTCGGGAAATGGCACTTCCCGAGGCAGTCGCAGCGTCAAGCGGACTGGCCGCAAATCGCAACGATGGGTTGCTCAGGGCATTCCAGATGCAGGCCACCAGTAAGGCACCGCAGGTTTTGCAGGTGTTGCCAGCCCAGGTGAGAGCCGCCAGTATTGAAGCGGTCAAGGCAGCAGAGCCGCAGTCAGGCAATGGAGGGGCAGGCTGGTTGGCCAACCAAAAGCAGATATTATTGTGGGCATCGGTGACTGGGTCAGTTGCCAGGGGACACAAGGGCAGTGTGGCATATTGAGCACAACGATTTGGCTGCCAAAATGTGAATGGAACAGTGCCTGGTACCTTGCAAGAGCGCCGCCCAGGGAGGCAAACACCTGTTGCTCCTGTGTTGAACTTTGTGGTTGTTTGCTTGTGTAGGTGTTTCCTGTATCACAGGATGCTTCTCCAACAGCCTTCGGCAACACAGCCAGGGGTGGAAGTCTGCCACAACAACAGGTCAGAAAGACTGATTGAGCAGCTTGTGCTGGGAATCAGCCAGGGTCCATGGTTTGTGTCTCTTGTTGTTTGACCATTGTACATATTCCATGGGTGTGCCAGCTTCCAGTTGCTTTGTGCTGTACCCCTGCCACCCAGCAAGGGTATTCAGAGTCCAACCCTCTTGTTGTGGTTGTTGCCTGCCAGTTTGCCTTCCTATCTGTGCCCAACTATGCACCTGGAGAGGGTGTAAGCAACCCAGGAGTGACACCCGCACTGAACCTTCTGGGCGCCCAGTCAGGCCTGCAGCAGCGGCACAGCGGGGCCAATGACATGCACACCCCCACTGTGGCCCTCACGTTGGGGGACGATATGGCTGCCCAACATTTCTCCCAGCAGGCTGGCTTCTCTGGCCAGAAGGCAGTAATCGTCAGCAATATTCAGGTGGGCACGGCTTGCCCTGCAGCAATCTGCTGAGAAAGGTCGACAAGGCCCATGATGCTGGACCTGTGGTGTTATTGGTATTGCAATGGACATCTATGCGTTGCAGGGTTTTGCCTTTTCTCCTCTGAGCCACTTGGTCACTGTTAGCCGTTATATATTCTTCCTTGCAACCTGGCTTCCTTTAGTTGACCTGGTCCACTCTGTTGTGTGAAGGGAAGTGTTCGCTGCCATCTGTGATGATCACGAATCGGTTCATGCAGTGTTGATGCTTCACATTCATACAAAATGGCACTCACGATTTGTTTGATGCATAGGCAATGAGCACATTAATGTTTTATCGGCATAACACTGTGCATTACGTAGCCTTGTGAACGTTAGGCTTCGCTTGAACCACAGCTTGTCCAGTTTTCTTGAGCTTTCGTCCAGACTTTGTATTGTAGAGCCATAATTGTGCTTTCTGGCAATTGACTGGCAGTCATTAGTCCTGGTTGGGCCTCCATGCCATCAAGCACAGCCTCTGACAAAGTCTGCTGGTGGTCAGTGTGACTTGGTTGAATTTCCGTGCAGGCAGCCAACGCTGCGCTGACATCAACAGGCCCCTTTGCATCACATCTGCTGAGTGGCCAGATAGGCTTGGACAATGTGATTGGCCACATTCCATTGTCAGAGGCTCTGGCCAGCAGCGCGCCCATGGTGATCGGCGGAAGGGAAATGGCCCCAACACTAGAAGATTCAGCCCTGTCCGCCCCTATGGAGACTGAAATGGACCCCAACATTATCGAGCAGCTGAATGCTGGTGATCTGGACTTGTCGACTGTGGCTGCAACCATCCCAATCCTTCAAGGCGCCGGAGGTGGGGCACCGATAGCAATGATGCCTGCTACCCAAGTCCTGAGAATGAGCTCTGAGGCTGGCAGGCCTGTTGGCTGATTTGGATATTGTGGACTCCACTGGTGGGATAGCACAATAAGGACAAGGGACGGCTGCGGGTTGGGGGGCTGTGCTGCGAAAGCACAGCTGTGCCCCTGTGGCTGAGGCATACTGTCCTTGCGCTTGCTGCCTGAGGGCATGTTGCTGCCTTTGAATGGAGCAGAGACACACAGCGGGAGACCAAATGGCTGGTGGCCTGGATGCCAAGGTGGGCGAATGGAAGGGTTCGGACGATTTCAGCTTGCAGATTGTGAGATTGAATGAAGACTTCACCATGCTGGTACATACAAAGGCATTCTTAGGGTAGGATGGGTTGCTGAATTTTGAACACCCGGCTTGCGGTGTACAGAGGAACGGGTGTGTGCAGATGAATGCCCCAATGCAGGATGCTGGAGGAAATAACGATAGTCAGAAAGCTGAAACCGTGTGACACGCTGGTGAGTGTCTGTATGTCCACATGTGGGTTGGTGTGTACTATTATTGTGCGGTGGGCGGAATGGCACGTCGGTGGAAGCACACATGCCCCGTGCAGTGAGCTCTGCTTCACCCACACAGTGGTCCAAGTGCGATGGTATCCAGAACCCGTTTAAAATGCCTTGTTGTGGAAAATGATGCGATTGGAGAAATGGCGGTGACCAGGAACTATTGGTTCATTGAAAAGGACGTTTTCTCAATCTGTCGCCAAGGAGAAAGTAGCGGCAGAGTTTTTTTGGGGGCATCGGAGCACCTCTACTTGTCAGGTAGAACCCAGTGGTGTGCCGTGCTTCGTTTCCGTTGTGCGTCTTGTGGACCTTGATGAGGCCCAATGACATGGCACACATTGGATGGGGCTGGACGGCCTTGGTGCTGCTAAGCCATGAGCTTCGCGGTGGGGACTTGTGTGGCTGGATTTGTGCAAATAGCTTGCAAACGAAGACTTTCACCAGACAGACAGGGCACAGTCTTGCATATGGACGTCAACTCGCCGGCGTTTGGAGTAGGTTACTGGGTGAAGTGCGGTTTGACGGGTCCGAGGCTGGGACTGAGGTCTTGCGGCAACTCTGCACCACTGACACTGAAACGTGTTCTTGAAAGGAACTCTAGAAGGTGCGTGTTTATAGTTTTTTTCCAAACTTTTTTTACAACGCGGGGTTATAGCGTTTGCTTGTGGGTTTGTTTGTTTGCACGGGTTCTCACGTGTGACGGGGAGAGGGCGAGGGAGTGTGACGGGCATTGCCTTTGGACGCAGTAAAAAAGGGTTCAACTAGGGTGCGGCAGCATCTCTGTAGTTCTGCATTTTTAATGGGAGCTTTTTCCTGATGTATGGAGTAACGGAGATCTGTCTCAGCTATGCGGGTATGTAACGGGGATGTGGGAGCCGGTAATTTAATGCAGGTGCCGGTTGGAAAAGGTTGCTTTGATGGCTGCCATCTTGGGGTATCCGTCCGTGATGTGTTCACCATTCTGTAGTCGTCCCAGCCATCTCAGTGAGCAGCTGCCTTGGCAAGAACATCCCCACCAAAACACCGAACCCCACCCCCAAACCACCTAAGACTGTTGTGGCACGGACTGCCGATGTGTTGTTTGATGGTGCGCCGCACTGACGTCCGCCCAATATGCATTCGTTGAACCCACGAGGATAGTGTCCTGCTGAAGTGAAGGCGGTTGATGCGATGCAAACCGCTCCCTTTAAATGCACACGGCAAGCGTGGACACCACACACACCATACGGCGCTCACACACTGCCTTGCAAGGCAGCTCCCACCCAGAACTCGTGCTTTGTGCTTTCCGGTTCCAAGTTCGAATACGACTTTCCTTGCCGACTGTGGCGCCAAGCACGACCCAGCTTTGATCCTGCAGATTTTGCCTTGCCTCACAACCACCCGTCCACCTATTTGACCCCAAAGGACCGTCACCAGTCACAAACGCCCGTCACTCAAATCGTAGCCAAGCACAAAATACGCCATAGATGTCCTTCCACACAGAATTCAGCACAGTGCATGGACCACCAGTTCAACCAAGAAATGGCGTGAGGAAATTTTCACGAAACATGTCTTTCCTTTTTGTCACTGTCAAAGTTCCTTGGCCATCCCGGTTTGGGATCCCGCTCGTCGCAATCGCCACAATCGAATGCGCACAGCGATGGGACACAAAGCGGCAAAAGTCAAACACTTTTGGTTCGACTTCTGTGGCAAACTTGGTGCACATGGTGCTCAAATGCACTCGTCATGCATGGTCGGACAAGCAGCCAAGTCTCAACTTTTCTTACAACCAAACCAAGAGAAGCCATGAACAAGTCTCGAGCTCTCTTTAAATACCAGAATGTGCCTCTTTTTTCACCCACCAGAACTCACACTCAGAACGGCAGAGTGAACTCACACTTCACACACGCACAACATACTACCCCACAGCACCGACCCATAGCATCGAGCCATGGCACCGACCCACAGCTCCAACCCGTAGTACCAACTCACGATCACCAAAATTAGTAAGATTGAAGCTGATTGTTGACCAGCCGTCCTCCCGCCATCTCAGTCAGGTCAATGTGTGCACCAGTCAGCCAGCACATGACCAGGTGCTTGCACAACATGGCAGCTGTGGCCGTCTTGGTGTGTCAGATCTTCATCTCTTTGAACTGGCTCTTTAATCTGTATTCACTTTTCTCATTGGGCTTCACTGCACATCGGTGTTCAGCCACCGACCTCCAGTCATGATAACAGGAAAATTGCATGTAAAATATCGAGAAAAGGTGACAGTCATTCAAAGATATTGTTGATGGCATTCATCGAGACGGGATTCTCATATGCAACCATTTAATCATATTATTACAAATCAGTAATTGATGGAGGCAGATCAGTGGTCAATTACTGGTAATTCGAACAGTCACAAACTTCCGATCTTCAAGCAAAGGAATGTACATATGCCGGGAAGCTGCCAGCTCAATGCCGCATCAGGAGCAGTGACATCCTAGTATGAGTAGCCTTTCCATGTTTCATAGCAGCATTTCTTGGTAACAATGTCTTTTGGGGGTCATCGCAAGCAGCGAATCACAATTTGAAATGCATACCAATCACCAGCCATCAAGCATAAGCGATCCACTCAGTGAAGCGATGGTCATTATGCGGCTAAGCGAACAGTGCCTGGTTTAGGACTGCTCTCATCGCCTCCTAACATCGTTTTGGTCATCTTATTTTGCAATTCGCCGCAATTGCTAGAACTTCAGTCGTTTTTGCCCTCAAAATGTTTTGGCGCTGTATGGCGTTGCTAAGTAATGTTTGGGAGTCATCCTGGAATCGATTGGCGCCAAAGAAGGGGGGAGGGGGTAAAGATTTTTTACAAAAGAGACAGGGAAACATGTAACACAAAGAGCACCCCCTCTTAGGCAAATGTTTGTGATGCTTTTTTCCATGCTGTGAAACGATGATATGAAGTCTGCGAAGCAAATATGTGCGCACAACACATGCAAGTCATCGGCAAGAAACACGTCCACTCGGGGGGCCCATATGAAATGTGGAGAATGTACTGAAAGTCAAGTGCAATGTAAGGCCTCCAAGGACCTGCCCATGCACCCAAGACCCACCCACCCGATACTCAGCTCCCGACAACGTCCCAGAGAAACGACTTCAGTACATGTCAGGGCGCCCTGGCTCTCCACATTGGCCATCGGACGCAGCCGCTGGCAAAGCACAGTGAAGCGAGGACACAGTAAGAGAAGATGCTCGCGGCCGTCGACCACCTCCTCACACCACTCACAACGGCTGTCATCCCGACGCCCGAAACGGTGCAAGTACGGCCCCCGTGCGATAGTGTCCTGAGGTGAACTGCGACACCAGGGCCACCTCCAACCGATTCATATCTGCCATCCAACGTAAATCACGACGGAAGTGGGGAAAGTCCCAATGCAGGATGCTCTCTTCATGCCCAACGCGCCACTGAAGATGCGCCTCCCTCTCAGCAAGCGCCCAAATAACTGCCTTGAGGCTGGCCCTGCGGGACGGGAAACCCCACCACCATGTGCAGGAAAGCCCTCCTGTGCTGCTGTCCGCGCTGCAACATCTGCCAAGGTGTTCCCCCGCACCCTGGAATGACTGAGAGGGAGGTCTGAGCCTAGCCTCAATTTGGCGTTAAGCTTAGACCCACCCACCCACCCCCCTCCTTGTGTGATATGTTTCTTGCTCTTTTTTTAACAATCTTCCCCCCCTCCCTTAGAGCATCTTCATCGGTCGGTGCTATCGCACCAGCGGTGCTATGCAGAAACGGTCCTCATTGGTTCCTTGCCACGTTACTAAGGCTTTACTTGGAGAATAGCACTGGTGCTATTGGGGAGCAATAGCACTGGGCGTGCATCCGTTGCGGTGGATGCCTTGGGGAGCAGTAGCACCCGGTGTGCATCCGTAATGGGGGGCGCTATATGCAAAGAAACTACCGCACGCCACGTGCTGCACAAATAGCACCGGTACTATTCTGGGGTGCTATTCAGCCTCAAGTGGTGCTGTTTGGGCCCTGAATAGCACCACTCGGTGCAAAATAGCATCGGGGGTGCTATGGGGGTGTTGTTGCCCCCCAACAGTTGATGATGGATTTTGACATGCGGTGCTATTCGGATAGCCGAAGAGCACCGACGGGACAATAGCACCTACCAATGAAGATGCTCTTAGTGTCAATCCTTATGTCAAAGCTAGGATGACTCAGCAACATTACATGAAGATGCGGTACAAATTTATTATGTTTTTGTGAGATTCGGACAACCACTACCCAGCCCCCGGCGTGGTGGGCCCATTTCAAATTGCGCTCGGAGGCATCATGGCGCCGAAAATGAACCCGATTTGATGCCAAAAAGGTCTTACAATTTGTTCATAGTACAAAATGCCTTGGTTTTACTCCCCCCGAGCTTGCTCTCAAGGCTGCTCGGTTTGGCTCGGGTTGCCAAACAGACAACTGACGCTTGCTTTTATACCCCAAGCGCCCTATCTTTCCAACAGAATATCCTAAGGATATACCCAAAATATTCTTCTACTTGTAAACCCGCTCAAATGCTATTGTCAATTGAATATAAACCACCACAAACCTATACCAAACATGATGTAAATACCTCTTTTCTATTACAAACCCATACAAAACGTTGTGTACAACCTCTATTCCCTCATGTAAACCTTTGCAAATGCCCATCAAACATTCACATTCATAGATTCCCCCTAGCTCCCATTCCAACGCCCCCCTCAGCTATAAAAGAGAGAGCCCTTCATTCTAACCCTTGAGTTCTTCCTCTTTGAGTGCTCTAGGCCAAGGGCTCCAAGGTGAGGCTTTTCTGGATGTTCGAATGGACTTAGAGCCTCCTCATTTATACTTGGCGCACCCCTAAGAATATACCCTTAGATTCTTGGAATATATTGGGATTATTCCTTAAGAATATTCTTGGAATATTCCATGAATATTCTTATATGTAGTCGCACAGCTCGTCACCTAAACATGACTAAGCATGACTAATTGTATTTAAATGACTAAAGCATGACTAAAGCATGACTAAAAATATGACTAATCTGTTAAATTCAGCTTTTTCCCCTATCAACCTAGGTAATCATTAAAAATGCCCAAAATAACCTATTTTAACATATAGAGTGCCTAAAGTCGTTACATAAAGTCACCTAATAAAAATAAATACTAAATTCGTTTTTTGAGTGACTTTCACAGTTTTGAAGAAAGAAAAAGCCACCCGAAATGCAGCGATTGCAGTGGGCTGACAATTGAGATGCAAAATGTCATGGCAGATGATGGCCGGCACCCTTGAAGGCCGCCGCTTGAGAATTTAGGGGGCTTTTGTGAAGATTGAACGCCAAAGAAAGATATGGAGACACGTCGTCAGTTTCTTGTCACTTTTTCACAAGTATTTTGGGTATCTTCCAAGCTTATGTAGTTGTGACGATTACATAATCTTTTAGCATCACAGGTCACCCCCCAGCGGCAAATTGACACTAAGCATACAAATTTCGACTATATTGTGTCTCCCCTAACAGCGCTGTGGCAAGAGCGCACCCCTTGCGCAGAGCTCCAGACGAGGCACGACATCCCAGCTAGATTCCCAACAGAAATGCCAAGGCGGTGATCTGTGGATCATATTGGTTGAGTCTCAAGTTCACGTGTTTTGATAATCGGGACTCAACTGATTCTGGTTTCTGCATTTGTCTTCCCAAGATGTGTACACTGGATCCATTCAGGGCGGTGGTGCGTCAACATGATTGACGCGATGCTGCCCTGAGTGAATTCCGCGCAAGGACGTTCTCGAAAATGCCGTGGATGTCGTGGATATCGAATATGTATGGGCGCAATATCCTAAATGTGTTTGTTCATGATATGGCCATCATATCGTGGACATGCATTTCTAGGATAAGGGGCCTCCATATCCAGGATATGATGACAGGAAATGGCCATACCCGGGATATGGGCGCCTTTGTCTACCGGTCTGCTTCAACCCCCACCCACCCACCCACCCGCCGTGTTCCCCATACGACAAGACAATACACTCACAAATGTACATCACCTCACAAATACAAGACCTACTTGGCGACCCACTTGAAATGTGCCCTCGCTTCGCATAGTACGTAATTCCACACTGATGGTGATTCACCCCCGAGTCAGCTCCCCTTTTCTCGTACTAAATTCCCTCTCTATCCCACAACTAACCGAAAATCACTCTATTAGGGTGGGCCGGGTGGGTGCGAAACAAGATCAAGGGGGGCGCCAAGGGTCACGCCCAAATAGCCGTTCCCCCTTTCCGCCAAACCTCCCGCCAAACGCAAGGGCCAGCTTGACCGGTCACCTTGCCTACGCCCAGGCTACAAGGGTCACCCGGTTGATCCTCGGATCCGGTGGTCAGAACCGAACCGGGTACAGGGGTGACAGAAACCGATATTTGATGGTTCCTAAACGGCCCAGAAAGGCAGCCCAGAATGACCGGGGCGCGCCCACCCAACGTCATCCTGGACAGAACCTCAATAACAGGATAGTCAGTTCCATATCCTGGATAATCACATCCAATACATGCAGCGTTGCTCCGGCGCTGGCCTCCATATGGACGCAACTGCTGCGGCGAGCCTCACATGGCATCCTCAAAACGGGTACTGAAAAGACAAGTACACTCCAGTTTCGATGGAACAGTAGATGGCAGGGAATTCAGGTATAGTAGATGGTGTGGGAGTCCTGGCACAAGATATCTGAACAATTCCATACAAACCTGCTGAACCGAAGCAATTGTGGACATTGGTTCACTAGACCAGCGTGATCTTCTGGAATAACCAGCTGGCACGCCGTCCAGGTACCAAACATCCATCACCCAACAATGGGCAGCGACCTCTCCATCTCTCAGCCCTTGAATTTAAGTGATGCACTGTCGCTCCTCGCAATCTCCCACGGCTCTCTGCTATGCAGATGAGGCCAGATAGCCAGAGTGACGAATGGGGAATTTGGGAAGGTGGCGATTAGGAAAATCGCCAGGACAGATCTCTTGGATTCCAGAACGGGGGGTCAGTCGAAGTTCGAATCTGTACTGCACAGCGGGATGTGGAAGTGATCACCATTTGAAATGGACTGATTGCTTCAGGCATTGAGATGAAGTTTCCGTAACATATTCAACCCTTCCGCGTTTTCAAGCTTGAATGACGCTTTTGGCTGCGCGGCTCCTTAGCAAATCATTGATTATATTTGCTTGCTCTCCGGATTGAGCCCGATGTGCCCCGATGTGCTTATGCAGAGTGCATAATGCAGTACCAACGTGATCTGCTTCGTTTAAGAAGCAGATCGTCCTGATATGACGACATGTCATAACATGCAAGTAAACAAGCAGGCGAGGCTTGTCGCTAGCATTGAGACTCTTGTGTGGGGATTCGCCTGCGTTCTCGGCGCCTTCAACAGCCACGTTATTGCATGTGCCCAGCACGCAAAGGTGCAACTCCATACAAGGCGCTCGATCTCCCTTGCGGGGGCCTCCAGTTCCAAGCCGCGAGAGCACTGCTGTATGGCCACCATTTCTTCCTGTGCCGCGCGAGCTGTTCACTGCGCCTTCCGTCTTGGGAACCGTCGGTCCGGTCGCACAAAAATCGTAGCTAGTCTCAGTCCCCATTGTTCTCATTGCCGCAAACGCCTTCTTTCGAGCGCATCGACTTGGGATTTCTGGACCGCCTGATGCCACGAACAGTCCAGGGGCGCTGGTGGCAGGGGTCGCCCGTATCAGCTGCGTCAGGTGCCGTGCGCAGACGTATCTTGGGTGTTGTTAAGTCATTTTGTGGAAGACTTAGGTTCTTTTGAGCTACCCACGCTTGGAGCCAGCCGGGGCGTAACTTGTGGCCAAAGCCCCATCTTTCGGAAGCGGTGTTACGTTTAAATATTGCCCATTAAAGAGCCAACGTTACGTTACAATTAGGAAGGTTGGAGTTTTCCCGGTACTCTTGAAAAGCCTTGTGGACAGTTCAGTGCTCCCATCCACAGCAGCTTCTTTCGCCAATCTATCTGAGTCCCCACGTCTCGCCCAACGCACAGCCCGAAGATTGCTCATGAAGAGCGTAATGATTGCCATCTGTGATTCACTTCAGCAGGTATAATTTTGCGCCTAGCGTAACTGCTATGATGTCTGCTTCAAACTACCACATCACTCCTGTGGGTCAAATAAGATCGATTTGCAATCTGTGTTTAACCATCAGGAATTCGCGCTTCAAATTTGAAACTCGCTGCAGCTGATTCATGTGCAAATTGTCACGGCCCATGCATGAAATCGCCACGCTGGTAACTCCGCGTTGGCAAGTCGAAATGACAGGAAAAGAATGGCAACTTTGATGACCGATCCATGGAGTGAAGCTGCTGAGGACTAACTCTCTTCAAATCGGGATTGCCCAAGGCGAAGTCGGAATGTGTGATTACGGGTCGGCATGGAATCATCATGCTGGGCACTGTCACATGGCCATCAGGGTTCCTATAGTAGGGGAGAACTCCTTAGCACAGCCCGCAGCCTGGCGGATCGATGGATGTGCTGCTCCTGATGTGCGGATGTTGGGGAATGAGCAGACTGCCGGAGGGGTGAACGCATGACGCTGGAACTTATTTGCAGCTCAAGGAGAATTACGACATGAGATTCCAGGTTTTACGGGGAGTAGGACAGAGAGCTCGTTTAGTTGTTTGTAGCGCGAGTGGTTGATTGACGGAAGGGACACATGGTACGATGTGGGGAGTGCGATCGATTTCTGGAGACCGGTTCTGGTATATAAAGACAAGCGCTTTGAGAACAATTCCTTTTGTAACCGATGGGTCCACCGTACTATCTTTCTGTCCCGTCTTTGTTGCGCGACTGCCCATTCCACCTTGCATTATTGTCTTTGTTGCATCCCTTTCCGCCCCAGGTGAGGAGGTGGCGTGGCGCTCGTGCATTGAGACCGCGTTCGACGTCAGCCAACCACAAGGGCTCGTGAGGCCGACCGGGAGAAACTGTGTCGGGGCCAAAGGAGGTGGAACGCCCGGTTGCGACCAGTGCAGGTACAGGTACGTCAGTGACTGGCGCACAGGCGCACCTCTCCCTGTTTGTGGGGTTCCCTGCCGACGGTGCATCCACCATGACAGCGTTCAGAATACAATTTGGGACAACGGCCATGGCAGGCTGTAGCGACCGACCACCATTTGAATAGTGATGCAGGAATCTGGGTGCGACAGACCGCCAAGACAACATTGTCAAGCGTCAGCAACATAGGGAGAAGGCCCGGCGGGTGCGCCGCTCCACCGGTTTCTATTGCCGTACACAGCGCCGTCGAACAAGGGCACTGTGCCATGGGTCCCCCGAGATTCATGTTCTCATTACTGAATGCATCACGGACCGGTGCGTTCACGCCCGCCTGTTTCGGGGCGACGCCAGGCATAGGGCGGTGGGCTCCCCAGCGCGGAGACGACGGGGCCGGAGATTGAAGCCCCTCCCCCAGACATGGCTTCCTCACCCCATACGTCCCCCTGGCTGTCAGATGCAGACTACGCGGCAATCCTGGGAGGCCAGCAGTGCACAACGCCGCCGGCTCCTCTGTTTCGCGTTCCGCCCGGCGTGAGGCACTTCCTGGAGGCCGGCGTCCACAGGCTGATGGCCAGTAGCGGGCAGGGCGTGCTGTTCCTGAGCTGCGGATCGGTGGAGAAGGAGGAGGACATGCGCGACCTGGAGGCCGTGCGGAAGGAATTCGACCAGTCGGCGTACAAGCACGTGGGCCTGGACAAATGGGAGCAGCAGCGCGCCGCGGTGGGCAAGCCCGCCGTGGTGAAGTGGCTCGCGAAGGGGGCGAGGGCGCCCAACAGGAGCGGAGGCATAATCGAAGAGGTGGGGATTGACCCGAGAGCCCGCGCTTGCGCATCCGTTATCGTTCCGGGTTAATGGCCAAGGGTTTGCGAGTCGTCAAAAGACACCGTGATTGGCCTGCGTCTGGTTGCGGGCCGACGCCGGTCGCCGCTTCGGCCTCCTACCGGCCACACCGCGCCGACTTGGGCAAACGCAATCTGACACGGCTCCTGCGTGCGTGTGGATCGCAGTTCCAAGTCCTGAAAGTCCAGCGGCTGTTGGAGAAGGAGACGGGGGTCCAGTCCCTGCCGATCATGGCCGTGCGCCAGGCGGCGGGCCAGCGCGTCACCCTGTTCACCACCACCGCGCCGCACACCTTCGCCGCGGGCGCCGCGGTGACCGTGTCGGGGGTGCATCCCTCCCTGGACGGCACCCACATCTGCACGGGATCACAGGACGCATCCACCTTCAACGTGCGCGGCCTGCCGGCCCTCAGCGGCTGGAAATACACCGGCACGGGAGCCAACGGGGAGGGCGCGGCCACGGCGTCCAACCTACTTGAAAAGGATGAAACCGCAACCCTGTTCCACGTCATTCCGTGCGGGCGGAGTGGGCAGATTGGATCGTTGCCTGGGGCGGACGAGCGGTGTTCTCACAGGTCGGCGCCGCGCGGGTCGGACTGCCAGAGCACGGTGTACAAGTCGGCGGACTCGAGGTCGGACCCGTCCCAGGCGGACTCGGAGGAAGGGCGCAGGAGCGCGGGCGGGATGATCCAGTCGCCCACGGCGGCGGCCGCTGAATCGATGGCGGGGCCGAGGCCGGTGGATCTGATCGCGGGGGCGAGGGGGGAAGGCGGCGGGGCGTGGGGGGGATGGGGCCGCTGGATGCGCGGGAATGAGAACAGGGCGGCTCAAGGGGTGGCGGGGGCTGTGGCCACCCGGGGGAACGATCCGGCTGGCGTTGAGCCGCGGGCGGCCGCCGCTGAGGGGCCGGAGGGGGGATCTGGTGCCGGGGGTTCGGGGGAGGGCTGGGGCGCCAGGCGGGCGGAGCCGCATTGGCGGCAGGATCCAATGGGCATCGGAGGCCGTTGTGGGGATGGAAGGTGCCAGACGCAGGTCCCGGCGGAGGAAGGCAGCTGGGAGGACGAGGATGACGGTGTGAGCACGGGGGAAAGTTCCGATGGGGATGGGAGGACCAAGGGTGCCTGTCAATTCCCTGGGTCTGCGCCCTCTGGAGGGCTGCAGTTGCCAAACAATTTCTCGGCTGGCAGTGAGGCGTCAGGCTCAGGCTGGGGGAATGCGTACAGTGTCCCAGATGGGCCAGAACAGGTGGTGCCGCCAAGTTTTGGAGCCGACGGCTGCCGACAGGTTTTGAGCCCTGTGAGCTCTGCTGGTGTGGGGCACTCAGCCCAGGATCCTACCAGTTACCAAACGTCTGGGGCTCAGTTCACTGTCAATGATCCTAGCTTCCACCATGTGGGGCTGTCCAATGGGCAACACCCTCAACGCCAAGGACATCATCCCGTTTCCACTTCAGGGGAAGTGGATCAGGGAACACAGTCCTTTGTTGTGACCAGACAGCAGGGTGAAGGGTTTTACTATAGGCAGTGGCAGACCGGGCAACTTGTGGGTCAAGGAATTGTGGAGCAGAGCATGCAGGCACAATGGCCCGCAGGCCATACCGAGTCAGGGCCATCAGGCAGTGGCATTAGTGAGCGAATGGATGCTGGCTCAGGCTCAGAGGCAAGAAACATCTACGAGCCTGAAGGGCAGGACAGGGTTTTTTCTGAGCAGCTAATGCCATTTCATGGCTATATGGTGGGAGGTCAGGAGCCAAGGATCCCAGGAGAAGGTTGTGGACAAGTAGGCTCCTGGTCTGCTGTGCAAGGGCTTCTTTTGCCATTGTGCTTTTTGTTCTGTACATGTCACAGATCCACACATATGAATGACGAATTCATGGTTCCAGTGTTGCCATGTGTCACACATGAGATGTGGTTTAGCAGTTGTTGCTCACCATGGTTTGGAGTTTCAACCAGATAGGGTGGTTTGAGGCGCAACCTAGTTGCTGATCCATTTTACACTATTTTGCCTACCTTGATGTCAAAGAAAGTGCACCTAACATGCATGGTTGCAGTTTCTCAAGTGGCGGCTGATGTGTGCATAATTTCCTATCTGTTCAGGTGCCCTTCTGGAGCACTGCCAGTGGTGGTGATACCCCCCCTGATGCTGCTGCTAAGGGTTCAGTGTGGGGCAACACTAGAATCACTGGTTCTGGTGCACCATATGACCATGATGCCAACAGTGAAGCAGGCAGCTATGCAGGGTACTCCACCAGTGATTGGAGTGTGCATCAGGTGGGTGCTTGCTGGAACTGGTTTGTATGTTTGGTGGGATGGAGGTGTAACGTATGCCAAAGGCTTGCTCACTGCGTGGTGAAGACCAGGAGCAGACTTCAGAGCAATGTCAACACTTTCTCTTGCCCAAAGAATCTACCAAAGGACTGAGCCAGGGGAGATGGGTGTTCATTGTTCATCAGATTGCATGAAGTCTTAGCAAGAGTTGTTGTATTGCCTACATAACTTCCTATTAAGTGCATGCACAAGGCCAGTGCGTCCACAGCAATATCATCCATTGAATGGCCCCACTATTGTCTGCCTGAATATTTAGCAAAATGAAAGGTTATGTGCATGGCCACCGTCAGTTCGCCTGTGTTGCCAAGATCTTATTGGCAGGCTATTCTTTGGTACCAAGCAACATCTGTCTCAGATACAGCTGTGGGTGCAGAGAGCACATTGTGCGGTGAGGTCATCTTGTGGACTCTCTTTGTTTTGGTATGCTGTGCTCTTTGGCAGCCATTGGCCTGTCTGCAACCTCATGCCTTGAAACAGGCTTGAATGGGAATGTTCTTTTTGGACAGTGGAGTATGGAGACCAGGTATCCAAAAGCGAATAGGGGCCCCTGGATGTGTGCTGTGTGGTCCGTTTCCATCTAAAGCTTTCCCAGCTGGAACGGACAGTATTTGTCTAACACAGATAATATAAACTTGCCACAAGACACGATGGCCTTGGCACCTGCAATGCCTATTGTGCATCACAAAGCGCCTAGTGCAAGGTTTATTTCTGGTGGGCTGGCCAGCCAGAATCGCTAATGGTTAGATCATGCCACGTCCTGCTGCCTGAGTTTGCAGTGCCCGGAGAGATAGCCGGTTGTCAAGCTGGAAGCTGTTGTATGTTCGTATTTGATTCAGCATATGTGCTGAACATTTTGATGCGGAATGAACATATGCTATCAACGGCATGCTATTTGAAGTTAATGGGGTGTGCAGGAGGAGACCATTAATGAGCATAAACTGCTGTGTGCCCTGCCTTCTAGGCACCGCAGCGTACCACCGCTGGTGGCACCTACTTTAGGCAACCAACAATGCCTGGTGCCACCGTGATGACGCCAGACACTGAAGGAGTTGCATCTGCTTCCGCAAGCAGTTGTCACAGCTATTCCATGCCACAGGCCACACCTCTGTATGGGCATGGGACCAGTGTTGCTGCTCACCCACACATGAGCTATCGCAGTGGTGAGGGCCCTTCATATCTCCAGGAGCATTCCATGCAACAAAACCCTCAGTACTCAATGGCGGCTACTGTGCCAGGATCCACCTCTCCCTACCTGCAATCTGGTGTCGGCTGGCGCCAACCCCAGTCGAGGGCAAATAGAGGCTACTCATCGAATGCTGGCTATGCTTTTGGCAATGATCTGGATGGGCCTGCATTGGGCGCTCCAAGTGGTCCCCCATGGGCATCGGAGAGACAAAGGGTTGTTCCATCGGAGTGCAGCGATTCTTACCGTGGCACTTGGCCCTCAGACTCCTCACGGTATGGAACCGCCTCACGCAGTTCTGGCAATGTGAAGCCGCAGAAGACAGGGAAGGCGTATGCAGAAGAGCTCTGGTTGAGGAAACAGCTGCCCCCAAACCCACAGTCAACACCACCTACACAAGCCTGTAGTCAGCAATATCCTGCACCTTCAAGAAGAGAATACCACAGAGCTGCTCCAGGATATCAGTCTGCAGATCCAGTGCATGGTTTTGAGCAGCCTGTCGCACACTCCAGGGCTGTTGACAGTGGATACAGAGGACGGGTTGAGCGATCGGTTGCAGAGGCCTGGCCAACGCCTAGCTCTGAACGTGTTCAGCCATCTAGTCACCCTGCATCTTCAGGAAGAGAAGCTCATCGCATTGCCTCCCAGCACCCTGTTGTGGATGAAGGTCATGGATTTGACCATGCCGCCTCAAACATTAGGGAAGCAGCTGGCGGTGGATACCCAGCAGGTGTTGTACCCTTGACAACTCCCCCTGGGTCGTCACCAAGCTCTGTTAATGACCAGCAAGGAAGGTGTTACACCTCTACACAGAGGGACAACTACTGTGCTGTTCCTGGGCAACAATCTGCAGGTGCAGTGCACGACTTCAGACAAACTGGCCCACAGTGGGGTCGGGCTTCTGGTGGAGGATGGGGGGGCCGTCTTGAGCACTCGGCAGTCCAGCAGGGTGGTTACTCTAGATCTTCACGCAGAGATGACTTAGCTGCTGCCCCAGAGCACACAGTGGATGCAGGCTACTCTGTGCCTACCCAACAAGAGCAGTGCAGTGGCGTGCATGCACAAAGAGAAGACTGCAATGTCCAGCCTACAATCAGAGACCGCAGTGCTGTCCCCAGGCAGCAAGCTGCAGGCCCAGCTCATGGTGCACGGCAACCTGCTGGAAGGCTGGATGAAAGGTTGGCTGACATTCGTAGAGGAAGCTTTGAACAACAAAGAGGGCGAGTTCATCATGAGCCTGCCGCTTTGCATCAATCCGGGTCATCTGAAGCCAGCGAGCAGTGCACAAAGGCTAGCAACTTGGGCAGCGATGCAGGGAGGAAGAAGGTAGATGGTGGCCCACCACAGATGACTGAAAAGAATGTTGCAGATGCTGTGAACTGTTTTTCCGGCCTTCTTGCAAAAAACATTATTGAAGCGATGGCATCTGCCCAAATGCCGAGGTGCGATATGCGAGGGGTTGATGCAGTGATGACAGAGTTAGAGAGAAGGTTGCCCAGAGCCCTGGAACTTCGAGGGGACTCTGTTTATATCTGCCCTGAGATTTTGGAGGGTGCTGCAGTTGAAGGTTTGAAACCAATGCATACTGATGATCACTACTTGGGAAGGCTTGTGTCGGCAGTTCAGACTGCTGTTGACAGGGTCGCCAGAAAGTACTGCTTGTCTGCTGCTACAGGCGCTGTGGAAAAAGTTGTGGCGCCAAGGGGGCGAATTCACAGTTTCAACGATAGCAAGGGCCAGATGGGGAATACCACGAAATTGGGGGGGTCTTCGTTTGGTGGATTGTGTCCTGATGGTTTGTTGAACATGTCAAAAAGTGAAGCTGCGGAGTACTTAGTCAGAGTTGTGGACGAAAGGATGCATAGACAGTTGGTTTCTGTGCTTGGGGAAAGGATTGGGCATAAGAACTTCTTGTTTGTCTTGCTTCAGGACCTTGAGAGGGACGCCATCTGGGATGTGCGCCAGGCGTCACTTAGGGGTGCGGAATCTTCGGACTGTGAGAACGTGGCAGGTGGGGCATGTTTAGGTAGGACTGGGGCTGGAGGGCGGGCAGGGGCTGGCCGATCGGGGAATGGGTTGGGTCAGGATCGGATGCTTGGTGGCAGGGATTGCGGCAGCTGTGCTGACGATGACTGGGGCATGACTGTTGGTGCAGACAGCTCACAGGCAGACATGTTGGGACATCTGGGAGCCAGCACTGGAGGTGAATTGCCCAACTATGAGCAGGACATAATCCAGCAGATAACAAGGGGTGGAAACCATGTGCTGGTGGGCTCCCCAGAGAGCACTTCCAACATCACAGCAGAAACAACAAGGTGGGAACAAGTGCGGGATTGGGTAGGGAGACAGGGGTGTTGGTCACCTGTGAGACAATCGCGGCAAGTGTGGGGGAGGTGGGATTGATGAGAACGAAATTGGCTGGGGTCTGAAGCAGGCATGTACACTGAAGTTGTTATGGTATGTTGCATGGATGGTGTGATGATGGCAGGTGCATTGGATGTGCTTGTTTGGAGCCTGGAGAAATGAATGGCGCATTAATTGTTGATACATCAGCACAATGTGTTGTTGGGAGTTGTGATGCATAATCTGTAAAGTAGGACTATGCTCCGTTGAGCAGACAGCAAGTCTGCTGCCTGAATCTGCCTGTGTTTGGTGTGACATGCAATCATCGAACACGACAGTGCCCTTTGGAGCGTTTCCTTGATTTCAGCAAATCGAGGCAGTAACTGTGCCAATAATTAGCACCTGTAAGTTGGTATTCGAACAGCTATTATTCGTGCGTGCTTCCCAGCAGTCACATGTCAAGAGAAGCAGAGCCTGATTTTAAGTCGTGTTTGGTGCTGCCCAAATCTGCTGGTGTCAGCTCATCAGACTGTAGCTGCTACGCCCAGACTGTCCCTGCAAGCAAACAGGATATTGTGAGCTAGTACAGTACTGGCACAACATTCGCTCTGCATGCTGACACATACACTCGTTCTAAAGCGTTTAGCGGCAAGGGGCTTGGAGCTTTTGTGGGCACCATCTGTCCATGCATTGTGCTATCAGCGTTAATTTGCCGTAAACGTTGTCGTTTGCTGAAAAGTCTACCCTGAAGGCTGTGTATGTGTGTGTATGTGTATATGTGGAACCAAGACAGACAGTTGATTTTGTTTGCACTTCGGACTGCAGTTCCTATGGACCCTCAGGAGTGGTTGGGCTTAGCCAGGTGTCTTTAAATATGTCTTAGATTTGTTGTGTTGTCTGGTAGCCACTTAAGACTCTACGTTTGTGAAGTTTGTGAAATTTGTGAGCGCACTGAATTTCCTGAAGTTTTTTTTCTGGGATGCGGACTAAGTGCGATCTGGTCACACATGTGCAATAGACTGCAAGACATTGCCAAGGGAAGTGGGCATCTGGTACAATGGGAAACAAGAAGGGAGGGTGATAGGACGTTGCACTGGGCAGAATCCATCTGTTTACATTGATCTGTGATCCAGGAATTTGCTTGAGCACTCCCCATTGGCACATGTTTTCTTCATTGCTTCAGAAGTGGCTGTTGCAAAGAAGCAGGCGGAGAGTCTGGAGGAGCGTGGATTTGCAACTGTGGAGGCACTCACAGTGAAAAAGATGACCAGAGAAAAATGGGGTGCACACTATGAGCAGAATTCCCTTCAAGTTATGACAGCACAACTGCTGCTGAATGCCCTCAACCAAGGATGGGCAGACTGGAGCCAAGTGTGCATGCTGGTGAGCAAGACAGTAACAAAGCATCATTGTGATAAACAGCCTTGGACAATCAATGCAAGGGAATTGGGCTGTTGAGTGGCTGAATGTTGCAGAGTTTCTGCAGTGCTATGAATTTGGGCTTTTCTGACTATTGCCATGGGTGTGTGCAAGCACATTTGAACCATCTGTGCTTGTCGATTACATCTGTTGGGCAAAGGGATACACGCTTGGTTGGCTGGTGTCATGGAACGTCAATTGCTTTGACTGATACCCCATACGATGTGCTCCTTTCTGCAGGTCTTAGGCAAGTGTCACTTGGCATCTGGTGACCATCCGTATGCAAAGGTAGTGGAAAGCATCAAGAGCAATGCTCAAGATCGCGTGCAGGTAGAGTAACAAGCACAGTGTGATCAGTCCATCGTGCCAGTATCTTGTTGCTGCCATGTTCTCCAATGTTAGTCAGTTTTGTCGACTACTTCCACATCGAGATATTTGCACATCCAAGCCAGTCCTTCCTTGTCTTTTGCAGGTGCTGGCAACCACTGACGTGAACCCTCAGGTGGGCCGGAAGTACAGGTGCAGTTCTTGCCTTGACACACTAGATGCACTCCACAACTATCTTGTCGCTCAAAAGGTGGTGCTGCACAAGAGTGATGTTTTTTAAGGAACACAGCACCACACGCACCAAGCAATACAAGTCCATCAGATCCATGCACCTGTCAATCGAGCAACTTCAAGGAAATTGACTAAGGATACAGGTTGCAAGCCACGCTGTCTATCACCAATCTGCAAGTAGTACAACGAGCACATATCAATACAGCAGAAGTATCTTGTAGAATGGGACCAGTACGGGCTGTCAAAATTTAACTGATCCCCCAAGCCCTATTCAGTGAATATTCTTGAGGATTTGTCTTCTTCAGCCATACTGTGACCAAAACATTGCGCTGGACCCCTGTTGCTCGAAAGGGCTTGAGTGTGCTGAAGTACGTGGGCTCCTAGTCCTAAAGTGCATGGTTTCAGCAATTTGACCCTGTCAGCTAGGATTGCAGTGGCCGAGGTGTGGCCCGTTCTGAGTAGCGTCTATGTTCAAATTCGAAGTAGAAGATGGTGCCTGGTGAAGAATTCTTTCATGAGAGAGTATCAGTAAGGAGAGAGTATCAGTCAAGAGAGTATCAGCCAATTGTGTTTGCCAAACATTGCAACTGTTGCGATGTAGCATTGTTTAGTCCGTTAATATGTATTGCAAGTGGCATGCCTCCAGTTTCCACTTTGCATTGCTACACAGTATATGGTCCACGACAGGGGAGATCTAAATTAAGCAGAGGAATGGGCAGTGCCAAGGTAATTTGGGATAAGGATTCCAGCCTCCGATTGTAAGGTGCATGCATCAGCCAGTGCACATGTGTGCTGGCATTTGTGGCGCTTGAGGCATTTCTGGGTTGCAGAAGACTGCACTTATTCGTCCCATGGCAAAACAAGCCCTTGCACCAACCACATGATGGCAGTGGGCTGGTTTGACCTCCAAAGGCTGTGTCTGCAGAACACTGAAGATTGAAAAATTGTTGTGAACCATGATTAGAATTGGACTTCTGGGTGAATATATGCACGTTGAAATGTACTACCTTGAGAGCATACTTTCCTAAAGAGGGGTTCTGCTGCTTGTCATCCTTTAAGGACACTGTGAGGATGGCCATAGTTAATGCGCTCAAAGAAGAACTGGATGCTGTAATTCTGTATACCTCAGAGCTTGGCCAGGCCGCCACTGCGTGCGGATCGGGCCAGGGAGAGGGTGAGGCACCAGCGAGAAGCAAATGTGAAGGAGTCAGGTGGCCGATTGACCGCCGTACTGAAGATGAGGAGTTCAAGCGGATGTTGGGTAGCTTTCTTCAGGAAGCTTTTGAGCAGTACACCAGTTTCGACGATTTGGAACCAGGTGATCTGGGGATGTGGACCTCGTGTGGGATGTGGTGATCCAGCATTTTGTGTTGTTTTCCTGGCTGAATGGATGAGTGTACTTATGAAAGAATGTGCAGTGTGCAGAGTTGGGAGGCTATGATGGGAAAGGACCATGCTGGGAGAGATGCCTTGCTGAATTTGAACTGAGCTCATTCACTTTCTGGTGTACAGTGGAAAGCAGTATGTTACAACCTGGACCAACTGGCTTGGGTATGGACAGCCGAAGATATACATATGTCCAGCTGCCAACCAGATGGAGAATGCTGCACGTTACACCCAACCATTGGGAGATGTTCTATTTTAGCAGAGGGGGGGGGGGGGGGCTGCGCATTTTATGAAGCTCAAACCGAGCGATCGATTGGGTGGTTTCAGACACCAAAACCCAGCTTTCTAGCTGACAGCTGGGTTTGTGTTGGCCCTGAACCTGCCCATGAACGGCAGCCGCTCAATCCGTTGCAGGCTTGCACATCAGCTTGTTGTGCAGGCATGTATCAGCCATTTAACTCTTTGCCTATGCTGTCAATGCCGATCCATAGATTTGAAAGATCATTGGCACATCTTGGAGTTGTGTGTAATGTGTCAGCTCTGGCCCCTGCCCCGGCCACCACACAGATGATGAAAGGCGAGATGAGCACCCAAGTTGATGAGTGGGCGGGGAGGTTGATCAAAAAAGCCAGAGAATGTGGCCTGCAAGCGCCACAAATCGAGGACATGGAGGCCTTCTCAGAGCTTCTTTGCTTGGTGAACTTTTCCATTGGCATCGTGGACGAGGTTGGGTACGAGCTTGCTGTAGATGACATGCTGGACAGTGCTGACAGGTTGGAGAAGGGACGCCACCCAAGTGGCTGGTTTTGGCCCGCAGCCAGTTCTCTGCGGTGCAAGTTGGAATGCTATGGAGCTGGAGACGCTGCTGAGTTTCCCAAGATTCGTGAGCTCATTCAGCAGCTCGTGAAATACAAGGATGCTGCAAACTTTCATGGGGTAGTGGTCACGAAGACTAGGCATTGTGCTCAGCACCTGAGCAACACCATCGGGGCCATTGAGGACTTGGGATTCCTGACCACAATCATCTTCTGTGGCCACAATAAAGTGAAGCAGAGGTGTCGATTGGATGCGTCCCTTGCCAAGGGCTTGACCAAGACACAACAGGCTAAGCGCTTGGATGATTTCAAGAGTGCCTCTCATTGTCTGCTGTTTGCACCTGGGGCAAAAGAGCTCGAATCTGTGCATGTGGTGCACATTGATCTCGCTGTTGTGCACAGTTCCATAGACATGGAAGACTGGCGGCGAAAGGAGCCAAGAGTTGCAAAGGTGGTGGCACTGATGGAGGAGAAGGGCTAAATGCGCTTGACCTGCTGGCTGGCCTTCTCTTTGACAAGAACTTGCGTTGTCACATTGTCGCATTCGAATGGCGCGCCCAATTGATGGGGCTGCTGCCACTTCACATCAAATCAAGACTACGAACTTCAGAAATTGTCGAATGCATGAACTCACTGCTCACCAGATAGGATCGAAATCAGGAGGCACCACAATCGTTTCGGTACGTTATTCAGAAGCATTTAGATGAGGTATTGGAATAGGTGTCTCGAAAAGAACCATTCCGTTAGTGTGGGACTTATTTGATTCGGTTGGGGCTAGCAGATTAGCCACAGTCGGCAATGCGAGTTTGTAGGTGGCACAGCTTCAAATTCTTTTCAGTTCTGCTGCATGTGACGGTCTTGCGCTGTCACTTCCCAAATGAGATCTTGGAGCAGACTGCCATGCCATGCGACCTCTGAGGGTGTTTGGCTATCGGAGGCGTTTGCAGAAGCCTGTGCTCTGCAGAGAGCGAGAAGGGTCAGTGCAGAAAGTTTGGTATTCATTGTAGTTCAAGATGTCGCCTACAGGAGGCGGGCACATGGTGTAAGAGGCCGCTGATTCTTCCCAACCATCGCTGCCCATCGTGAAATTGCTTTCTGCAAGCGAATCGCTGGTGGTGCGTGCAGCACTACAAAGCAAGGCCCTCACGCAGGGCAGCACCAGTGGCCAGTTCGGTAACGTGTGTGTCGTCTTCCCATGACACATTGGTGGGAAATTATCAGATGCTGCGTTTGTTGTAGCGTGGGCTGCTGGAATGATGCATTATCAGCAGAAACAGGGCCAGTGCTGCCCAATTGGCATGGAAACAATGATGGTGTGAAATTGGGTCCGGTAAGGGTGAGGACGGGATGTTCTAAATGTTGGTGAGCAACCAGCGCTGCGCGCCCTTGCAGACTCGGCGGCAGGCTGGTGAACGCTGGCGTGTCGCTGCAACCCTCTGGTCCGGAATCGGACCTCCCAGCCACCTCGAGCTTCGTTAACGATTCCAACAACCTGCTTGTTTTGCTTATTCAAATAAGCAAATGGCGCTCATCGAAGGCGCCAGCCTCCTTATGATGAGCGACGCCTTGCTTTCTTCTATTAACAGTACCTGCTGTCTTGAATTGTTTTTTTGGCATTTTGCAGCATCTTTCCTACATTCGTCAAAGAGCATTGATACGTAACATACGTTGATTGACGATCTGCTTGCTCTAGCACTGCACCTTGGTGGTCCTCATACGCTATGGCCGATGTCTGTGATGTGCACCAATGGAATGTATTGGAAGGTCCTCGATTTTGTGCGCAGTGCTCCCACCTCACTTGTGCGTCTTTGCGCAGAGCAATAGGTGCTACCTGTAGAGACGTACCCGGATGAATAGCACATCATACCTGTAAATCTAGTGGTGACCAGACAGCTTCAATCAATCGAGATTTGGGAGGAGCACCGTCAGTGGAGGCCTGGCACCCGCAACTTCGAACACACCTGCATTTGCCGCTGGTTACGAGCCGCCGGTTACGAGCCGCCGGTTCGTCGCCATCGACATTGCAACATTCGTCAGCATGCCCATGGGAGAAAAAAGCCTAAGGTTTGCCTCCGTCGGCAACCGACATGGGTCAATACATGGAATTGCATATTTCAAGACGTTTCTGTGTGTTTCCTGTTGAAGATGGCGCTCCCAACCTCTCTTTGATGCATAGTTGCTATTCAGCGGAATGTTAAAGAATCCTTCACAGAAGTGCCCCCCCCCATTCTGTTGTACAATGCAGCTGCCAGCTCCAAGCATCGTCAACAGAAAGGACGACAAATGCATTTCTCCGTCTTCAACGCAAATGTGAGTGCCGGCCGTCATATTCGTGACATCGACGGGCGATACAAATGGGGAAAAATACTCGCAAACACTGCAGAAAACCCCAAGAGTCATCACCAGAGATGGTGCAGAGGGCCCGCTCTGAAGGCTGACCTGGCAACTCGAAGCTACCCCGAATCACCATGGTGGTGATGATGTGCTTCACTATGCTGCTAATTCGTTATGAGGCAGGGACGCCAATGGAAAAGCTGTGTCCCATTCCCATGGTGCATCTTACCATATGCGGGGTGAACTACGGAGCAGCTGCAGAGAGTGCGGAATGGTCCAGATCGACCCTTGCCTCTGCGTCTTCGCCTCCATGACGCTTGGCCCATGCAGAATGCCGGAAGTGGGACATTGTCCTTCACAGGCTCATGGTGCATGCACCCCTGAACCACCATCGAGCATGTCAGGGATGCTTGAGATGTTGCTCGAGTGTGTGTGTGTGTGCTAGGCCACTGAATCGACTCCACATGACGGTGCTAGGGCTACAAGCCATGGCCATGGCCCCGCACATGGTGAGGACAGCATCGACGAAGGGACGCAGTGGTGAGTTCCTGCAACATGGATTTCTGTGATGTTCTAACACCTGGCAAGCGAACATGCCAATGAGAGATCGGGAGGCTGCTGGAACCATGCCTCTTGGCGTTGGCATTGGCCATGAAGAGAGGTGCAGAAATCCCAGCGCTGAACCTTGCCTTCCCTGACAACAGGGAGCATCCCAAGCAACGGCGGCCCAACCCTTCAAGGTGGAATTTCGAGGCCTTTTCCTGCAATGTAGAAACTCGTGTACCAGTCCCTGATTGCAGCTGGAATAAATACGAACCGACTTTTTTGCGACTGCGTTGAAAGAATTGCACCTCCAGCTTCTGGAGCTCAGAGCTGCAGCAGTTTAGGAATGGATACAGTGAACGCCCCATTCCACAGAGCTTACATAAAGCGGTGCAAAGCGCCGCTGAACGACAAGCTGCGCTGTCCATGTGCCAACGGATATTGACGTCTTGTGACGATGACGACTCTGCGGAAGGCCAGCCTCGACTGATGGCAGGCTGGTGCCGCGCCTCCTTCCCAACAGCAGCGCGCCTTCTTTGCACAACGCGCACAGCAGAACTGGCAGAGGAACTGGCCCAGCAGACTTTAAAAACGCCCAAAGTTCTTTAAACGTGCCCAGCCCAACCCTAAAATCGCCCCCACCGATCACCGCACACGCCAGTGACAAATGACACCCCAGCACACATCAGCGCCGTCCTCTCCCCGTCTACAATCCACCACTACAGACCACATAGCCTACGAGACGCCTGCAAACGAGTTGCGCAATTTGCTCTCGAAAACAACTCACGAGGACCCCGCGGTCAGGTACCCCTTCTCGTGCAGAAACGTCAGAATCTGTTGCGCCATGGCCTGCGGCGGCACGTGCGCCCCCGCGCCGTCCCGCGCCTGTATCGTCAACTCCGGGGACGGCGGCTCCTCGTAGGGCGCGTCGATGCCCGTGAAGCCCTTGATCTGGCCCGCCCGCGCCTTCTTGTACAGTCCCTTGGGGTCCCGCTCCTCGCACAGCTCGATCGGCACCTTCATGAACACCTCGACGAAGTCCCCGGGCGGCAGGCGCGCCCGCACGGCGTCCCGGTCCCTCCTGTAGGGCGAGATGAAGCTCACCAGCGTGATCACGCCGTTCTCGGAGAACAGCTTAGCCACCTCGCCGATGCGCCGGATGTTCTCCTCCCTGTCCTGGGGGCTGAAGCCCAGGTTGCTGTTCAGGCCGTGGCGCACGTTGTCCCCGTCCAGCAGCGCCGTGAACCTCCCCCCTTCGCGCAGCGCGTGCTCCAGCGTGCACGCCACCGTGCTCTTGCCCGAGCCGCTCAGGCCCGTGAACCACAGCACCACGCCGCGCTGGCCCAGCAGCCGGTGCTTGGAGGCGCGCTCCACACCGCCCTCGTGCCACTTGATGTTTGTCGAGCTGCCGACGTCGTAGGCGGTGGCGCCCATCGGGGAGGGCCGGGAGAAGGCGCAGGGGAGGGGCGGATCGCGGAGGGCGGCGGCAGGGAGGACGCTGCGCAGCTGGCGGAGCATGCTGCTGCCGGGCGCTGCCTCCGGGGCACTGCCGCCAGCGCGCCCGTGCTGGGGCCGGCGCGGTTGTGGCGAATGTGTGGGGCGCAGGCGCGCGACTGCTGCGAGCTCCCGAGGCTTCCTCGAGCGCTGTCTTTCTTGTTCTCGCCCTAAAACATTTCTGTCAATTTTGGACACGGAGTGCGGACATTCGGGCATTCGTGGTGGGGGTTGTGGTCCGCCCACGGACGCCAAATGCTATTGACTACATTTGTCATGGAGAAGCAAAGCACGGGTCTTGCATCTGAACAGGCGACGGCGGGCGCAATTCCACACACACTATCTGTTCAAAACCATTTGTTTGTGGTGGCATCTGCACATTTGCTATTCACGTTACCTTGGACATTCTCCAGCAAGGAAAATGCAGACTAGCTCCAGTTAGGGCACATTATTTAAAAGTCAACCAGGTAGCCTTTTGCAAAGTCAAACTATTGAGGGTTGTCATGTTTGGTGTCGCTGAACCGACTGAAAGTTGTATTTACAACTTCTCGCCTTACTTTCTCATTGTTCTGTTATCCATGGATTCCATAACAAGCACCAGCACAAACTTGCATGGTACGCAATACCGCGAGATGCTTATCCATGCATCTAGGTAGGCATGCTGTTAGCCCATATCTGGGTTGATTAGAGCGCATGCATCCATCGCTGGCTCAGCACCGCGACCTTGGAGCTTGAAAGGTGAGTGCTTCTTTCTTATGTGTGGTACACATTCTCACGTCATGGCTTTCCTGCCAAAAATGATTGGCAAGTGTGGGGCAAACCCTACTTGACAAACAGAAAGTCCTGGCTCCACTGGTTTATCTGACATATTCAACTCTTCATTGCCATTCCTGGACAAGCATAAAGTCTGAAATCACGCATGAATCTGCTGCAACATGCAACAGGGCCTCTCTGCATTTACCCTTAGCAGGCTGTCCAAGGGTGCTGCTGGCTCACCATTCGCGTGCTGTGGATTTTTGGCCCAAAAAGCACATCCCACTGCACTGCAGCTGTGCTGTGCATATGTGGTGTTGCATCACTGACATCCAAGGCTTCTGGTAGAGGGCCAGATCGTGCTGCTCGAGGGACAGCACACCAGCAGTGCCGTCGCCGAAACAAGGTACACCATGTGGTACTCGGCTATTTCAGAATGGTTATGCCCAGTGCATCGCCACATCTGAGAGCCAGCAGAGTCCAGAAAGGCCGCATGAACAGGCCATGCATTGCCACATGGGTCGCTAACTATTTCCAGTATATTACATTGAAGGTCAAACCAAAATTAACCATGTAGCCCAAAGAAATGCCTCTCTCAAGCCCTCTTCCCGCCCTCGCCACTCACCACCAATACTATGACAGATTCCTTTGGCTCCCAGCCCACGCCCATCAACTCGCAGTTTTGTTTCGAAGGCGGGATGAGATACAGTGTCCTGGGTCCCACGCCCTCTTTCTTGTCGAGGTGTACCACCCCAGCACGCGACCGGGTCGTCAAATACTTGACAAAGTCCAACAACGGGCCCTTGTCAGAGGCGGCAGACACGGGCATCAGCCTCCTTATCGCCCTCTTGTCCGGTGTGAAGCTCTGAAACATCTGCTTCAGGACACTCGACAGGTCCACGCGTATGCGCACGTCCAGCACAGTCGGCCAACCCAGAGGCTCCTGGCCCTCCAGACCCCCGTCGGACACCTTTGGCTTTGCGCTGCACAACACCTTGCACAGGTTCATCCCGCTCTTGGCCAGGTGCCCCACCCACGGGGGGCCCAATGTGCCTCCAGCAGGACTGGCCACAGCAGGTCCCACAGAGCGACCCTCCGCGGCAGGCAAGTCCGAAAAACGGGTTGTCCTCCTCCGCGAAGGTGGCTCTGGATGCTCCACCTTTGGGTTGGTCGGCGGGGGCGGTGGGGGAGGTGGGGAGGAGTCTGGCAGTGGGGGTTGGGAATATGGGGGCGGGGGTGGCGGGGGCGGGGGTGGCTGGTCAGGGGGTGGGAGAGGGGGTGGGGGTGCTGAAGGGGGTGCAATGGGAGGCCGTGGCAGTGCTTCAGGTAGAGAGCTAGTGCTGGGGCCTGAGGGAGCCCTCTGCAAGTCCACCGTTTGATGCCATGGAGGGGGTGGGGGGTGGGGTGGGGGAACAGTTGGCGCTGCGATGTCCATAGGGGAAGGCTCCGGAGGGGGTAGCAGGTGAGGTGGAAGGGCCATGGACTCGGCGCCGCTGGCCCTTGTCGGCCAAGGGGCGGGGGTAGTTGCAGGCGGCGGCTGACGGTCCCCTTCTTGCGCGACAGGCATCAGGCACTGGAGCGACCGGGGCACGAACGAGATGCTTTGCAGCTCGAATATGAGCCCGGGGGTTGTGCCAGTGACCCGGATGATGTGACGAGGGTTGGGCAGGCCAGCTGCGGACAGTGCCCTCTGCAGTTCTGCCTCTGTCGCCACTCCACAAGAGCCCCCAAACCAGATGCAGGTACCAAGAGGCTCCTCTGTGGGAGGGTTGTGAGCGCCTGGAATGGTGGCACACATTCTGCGGCCTGCATTTGCGGCAGTGAGGTTGGCAAGCAGGGTGTGGCAGCACAGTGTGGCCTCCCTGCAGCACCGCAGTGTACAAACATGTCAGCACTGCCAGGACACAGCACACTTGCCAACGAGTGCCAAGCGAGCTGGAGGCTGTCTTATGCCATCGCTTCACGTCTACAATGGGCAATGTTAATTACTCCAGCGGTAGAAGCCAAAAATTGATGCAGCGAAAATGTTGGCGATTTACCAACCACCAACATGCCAACTCCTGCTAAAGACATGCTTCAACACCAGCACAACATATGACTGAATTGCTTCATGACGTGGTGTGTTCTGTTCCCAAGACAGCAGTCGATGGCTCTCTCAAAACATGTATTTACACACTCGTATCAAACACAAAGTGGAGTTTCTCATGGCTTTGCTGAGTGTTGCTTTGGAATGGCAGCTGCAAATGTTGGGATGAGACCAAACAGCAGTGCCTCTGGGATGCAACGCTTGTGCCAGGGCAATGCACAAGGTGAAATGCCCAGCACTCCTGCAAAGCCCGCTACAGTGACACTCATCTAGGATCAGATGCTGAGCAGCATGGTGATGACTGCCTGCTGCTGTCCACAACAATTGCCCTCTGGCAATGACAGGAGCAAGCGTGGCACACTGTGAGCACCCCTTCCTGAGCAGGAATTCCTGTGAACTCCATGCTGCAAAGGTTATGTGCAGAGTCCCGATGGAAGAGCATGCAACCCATACCTTGGTGTCTTGAAGATCATGAGGGCCTTGTCTATTGAAGGCGCAGGGGGAAAGATCAGTGCCTTCACTGTCCCAAAGTGCGCACACACAGACGCAAGGTTGGACTTTGTCAATGGTGGTGGGATAGCAGCGAACCAAACACACGGTCCATCGTCATAAGGTGGCAATTGGGCTGGCAGCACCAGTCTTCCACACTCTTTGCACACACAAAGGCACGAATGTCAGCAGGAGTTACATGTGAAGGCAACATGTAGGCTTATTGCTCCATGCATGCATCCATGTGCATACTGGTCCTCTAACAGGGTAGGACATTTTAGTGCATGATCGGTTGGATACAACACTATATGTCTACGTGACAAATTGTATCTTCCCGTCTTGGAAGGAGCGGCACAAACATGCACCTGACGGGACAAGTGACAAGCAGCACAAATCTCTACTGTAATCGACTGGTGTACCACTGGTGTAGTTCATGGAATGTAAATATCAATCAGATGACACAATTGGGCGACATACACATCCCTGACAATGCACCAAAGCCTGCAGAATCAACAGTTGAACACTCCGTTCTCACCAATATGGAAGCCCAAAGGTGCGCCAATGGGCTGCACATCAATGTAAAATTGATTGTCATGAAACCGTGGTGTCGAGTATCGCCACAAAACGATCCAAACAGCAGGGATAACACTGACATCTATACCATTCTCGAGGCGTTTGATAGTACTCTGATAGTGCAAGTAGTCTGCAAGTAGTCTGATAGTGTGTGTGCTCTGATAGTACATTGATAGTGTCCGCAAGTGTTGATGACCATGGCCGCAAGGTACGTCAAGCTCTCTTTGCGATTCTGGAACAACATCAAGGCCGCACAATGCCTACAGGAAACTATTCCAGTGTTTTCTAGTCCAAGGGGCTGCACTGGAGCCAACCATGCCATATGCAGCCTTGCAACCCATGAATACAGGCCATCGTGAGGCGTTCAGAACAGCAGTATAGCTGCAAAGAAAGGAGAATTGGGAACACTAGCGCTGCTGGAAGTTGTTGATAACCCTCAGTGCAACAAGCACGAGCTGAACAGAATATCAAAGACAAGAGCATTGGGTTGACTTTTCTCTTCACTTCCACACACACAATAACTGGAGCCAACAGCTCAGCAAGAAAGGTTCCAAGTATCAGCCAAAATATTTCAAGTGTTACGTTTATGCCACTGACTGATGGCAGATCCACAATCCACCCACTCTGCTCAAGTTGTAGGTGGCAGAGTTTCAGCAAGGTATCACGCAATAGGGCAGACATCAAGAAAACGAACCCACGCCTAATCTGCAAGCAACGGTTGCATCTGCACACCTGGAATAACAATGGAATTTGCTTGACTAAGTTCTTGAATAGGCATGTAAGGCACTGGCGGCGAAAGGATCGCAGTCCTGGTCAACACAGAAAGAGGCTCATACCATGCTCTGCACTAATGCGTAGCAGCAATGCCATCAACATCAGCAGCGACACTGCCAACATCGCAGCTCACAACATCGGGTTCTCACAACAGGCACATTGACAGGAACACATGCATGAGGTTGCAAACAAGCTGAAAAGCAGGTGCTGAGAGAACACTTTGTGAGTCTAGAATATATGCATTGCCAGCTGCTGCGCATTCAACAAGGCATGCCTTACATTCCAAAAGGAGCAACACATACTCAGGCTGTGCTTTGCATCTTTGGCTTGTCACTCAATCAAACAGAAGAACATGTATAAACAAGACGCATGGGAACCTGCCAGAGTGGGCAGGGCAATCATTCCATCATCACAGTACACAGTCACACGAATGGTCCACAATAAACAACTGGTCCCACACCTCAGATGCGATCCTTGCAGTGCTGGAGGCGACGCTGGGCCTGTCGTATCCATGCTCAAGCTGGAGCTAGGTGCAATGTCAGGCAGGCTGCTCTGAACAGCAGCTGGTGGCAATGGCGGAGGCTGTGCCTTCGATCGCGGTTCTGGGTTTGGCTCAGATTGCTGCCGCTGCAGGTGACGTTGTGGCTGCTGTGGCTGCAAAGGTGGTGGCTGATTTTGCAGCAGCTGTTGTGCATGCGGACGTAATTGTGCCGGCGGCTGCACCTGCTCTCCATGCTGCAGACGAATCCGCGGCCATGGCTGTGCTGATGGTTCGGCCTGCAGCTGCTGTGGGGGAACAACAGCGTTTGCTGTGATCAGCAAGGGCGGCTTTCGGTCAGGTGCTCTGTCCACCCTGCCTTTGCGCTCCGTCTCTTGGTCTGGCAGTGCTCTTTCCTTGACAGCAACATGAACAGGAGGTCCTCCTGCAGGCCCAAGTGACTGCAGCAGCAAGTTGGACAGCTCAACAACTGTCTCGCTGTTGCCTGATGGTGGTCCTGAGAGAGTCCGAATGAACACAAGAATAGGAGTTTCAGGCCCACCTATGCATGCTTCCCTATGGAGACCACATAAAACAGGCAGCTTGCCCAATAAGAACAACAGCAGCTAAGGAGCGATTCTTATGACTGTTGTCAACTTCGCAGTGCCCTGTAATGCCATCGGCAAGGACAATGTGCAAGCCTCAGAACTGTGCGCACAAAGCTACCAAAGCTGAAATTCAATCTCTCAAGAAAAGCACCATGCTGCCACTCCAACCCCTTTTGCACAAACCTGGCTGTGAGACAGTAGTGTCAGAGATCGGATTTGTGCTGAAGATGCAAGCATTTCCATGCTATCTAAACAACAACACACAAATGCACACAATCATTGAACCACATGGCAATGCCCTAATGCAGCAAACCAACTGCAATTGGTAGTACCTTCTCTAAACGCCAGGGCAGTTTTACGAATCCATGCAACCACTCTCGGTCTGGACCCCAGCACAAATGCTGCCAGAGAACGAGGCCTTTCGCTGTCTTTAGAGGTTTCTGCAGAGTCGATATTGCCCTGGCCAGGCAAGTCACTCCATTCCCTCTCTTTCAAGAGCCTGCAACAAACCAAATGTCTGACTCCAGCAAGGGACTGCCTGTCTGAAGCTTTCAGGGCCTGCCAGCAATGCTCCAGCACTTGCTGTGGAACAGTGAGGAAGGCGTCCTCCAAGGCTTCAAGGACATCCTGGATGTCTGGGGGTGGTGACATCTGAGATGACCCATTTTCACAAGGCGTCCTGTGGCTTTCCTCTCTGGTTCTATCAGGGCGCCAACGCAGGCGGCTGCAAAACAAGCAAAGCACGAGTTGTAGCGCAGGCAATGCTGTGGGCACATTTAACGACGTCTGCAGGTCTGTGTTGGGTGGCATGCCAGGACACCAGTTACCAGGGTGCTTGAGCAGGATGACAAACACTGTTACCAACCAGCACAACGATTATAAAGACCACGTTTGTCGCAAGGATATAATCTTTTGCTTGGCAGCCGCTTGACATTCCCGACACTTGTCCTGAGTGTACATCACCTGCCAAGACAAATTGAAAGCTACTGTCTCTTGGTACACCAAACACAATGGCATTGCCCCCTGCCCCAAATAAGGCTCTGCAAACATTTCAGCTGCCTACCTGACCAGGAAGTCGACGATATCCGAAAGCACAGCACTTCCTTTATTTGGGTTGTCAGCACAAGATGTACAAAGGAGCCCCAGCCCCTTGAATGCGTCCTTCCTAATGCCTGCCAGGATCGGCTCAGGCATGTTGTCATGAGCCCTGATGTTGCAGAGGTTCACCAGGCTTGTTGCTGCATCAACTGTGAGTCGAGGGTAGTCCTTGACAAATCGGGGAATCAGCCGGGCTGCCAGTCTCTTACCAGCAGAAGAGCCTATTAGGACAATACGAACCAATGAGACACCGCTAGCAGCAAAAACTACACAAAACGGACAGTGGGCAATGGCCACAACGATGCAAACAAGACACAGGAGCAGAACACCGCGGGATTTCATAAATTACCATGATCCCCTGGAAGGCCTAATCGATCGAAACCACTGCACAACTGCTGGAATCCGGTCACTCTCATCCACCCATGCCAACCGCACAGGCTGGGTACCACACACACACACACACATTGCTCCAATGTTGCATCCACCACCTTCCATTCTTCCCCCCGTTTATCCGCGTCCCATTCCCGCCCCCTGACAGCCCTCCCCACCCGGCAACCACCACAGGCGCCCCGCTGGCCAGTCAGACACCCCTGGGCGGACGATCTGCCCCAACACTATCCACCCCGGCCCCCCAGGCGCTACCCACCTTCCTCCGCGGCTGACAGGATCTTCCGGAAGGCCGGCTCCATCCTGGTGCCGCCCTGGCCCCTGACCAGCGCCTCATACGCCCCGTACACCTTGGCTATCTCCGTCCTGTACCTCTCCCTCTGCCTCTGCCTGCCCCGCTCCCCGCCTGGCCCCTCCGCCGCAATCCCCCCGCCCTCCGCCCGTCGGTGCTCGCCCCTGGACGAGCACGACACCGGAGCCACCGCC